GGCATGAGCCTCCATTCCCAGCTAATTTTTCTATGTTTAATAGAGACAGGGCTTTGCTCTTGCTCAGGCTCAGACTGGCCTTGAATTCCAGCAGTCCTTTTGCTTTGGGCTCCCAAAGTGCTAGGATTATGGGTGGAAGCCACTGCACCCAGCCTTTTTTTTTTTTTGAGACAGAGTCTCACTTACTCTTGGTAGAGTGCTGTGGAATCATAGCTCACAGCAACCTCAAACTCTTGGGCTCAAGAGATTCTCTTGCCTTAGCCCCTAGGGTAGCTGGGGCTACAGGTACCTGCCACAACACCCACCAGCCTATTATTTTTTTCTTTTTGAGACAGGGTCTTACTTTGCTGCCCAGACTGGAGTGAAGTGGCACTGTCATGATACACTGTAGCCTTGAACTCCTGTGCTCAAGTTATCCTCCTGGCTCAGCCTCCCAAGTAGCTGGGATTACAGGTGTTTGCCACCATGCCTGATTTTTCTTTCTTTCTCCTTTTTTTCCCGTGGAGATGGGGTTTTACTCTTTTGCTCAGGCTGCTCTCAAACTGGCCTCAAGTGATCCTCCCACCTCAGTCTTCCAAAGTGCTGGGATTACAGGTGTGAGCAATTGCATTCAGCCATTTTGTGCATGTGTGTGTGTTTGTATGTTTAAAATATATCCACCAGTATAGCTTCATAGTACTCAGAGAGTAAGAAGAGACTTCAGACAGAGAAGATAAGCCTGATGTTTGGGTGTGTGCTGGGCCAGGAGATGCTGGAGGGATCTCCCAGCTCCCTTAAGCTGGGATTTTTGCAAAAGTCACTGGATGCAGCAGGGATTTCCTATCATACACTCTTAAGTAAAAAGACTCAACACTTCTATTCTCTTTCTCAGCACTTACCGAGTACCTACTATGTGCCAGGTGTCTTGTTACTTACGGGAATATAGTGGCACATAAGACATGGTTATTGACCTCAGGTTTTTTTTTTTTTTCCTTTTTGAAACAGCTTTATTATATAATTCACATACCATTCATTCATTTAAAGTGTACAGTTAGTGGTTTTTAGTATACTAAGAGTTGCACAACTCTCCATTTTAGAATGTTTTTATTATGCCAAAAAAGAAACCCTGTACTCAACAGCAGTCACTCCTTTTTCTCCCCAGCCCTAGGCGACTACTCATTTACTTCCCATTTCTGTAGATTTGTTCTCCTGGACATTTCAGATAAATAGAATCATACAATATTTGCCCTTTTGTAACTGGTTTCTTTCACTTGCTGTGATTTTTGTTCAAGATTCATCTATGTGTTAGAATTTCATTCCTTTTATGACTGAGTAATATTCTACTTTAAGGATCTACTACATTGTCTTCATCCATTCAGCAATTGATAGACATTTGGGTTGTTTTTACTTCTTGACTATTTAGAATAATGTTGCTGTGAACATTTATGTGCATGATTCTGTGTAGATGTATGTTTGTATTTCTCTTGCGTGTACACCTAGGCTGACATTGCTGGGTCATGTGGTAACTGTTTAACATTGTGAGATGCTATCAAACTGTTTCCCAGAGTTGCTGCATTATTTTACATTCCTACTAGCAGTGTAGAAGGGCTCCATTTTCTCCACATCCTCACCAACACTTGTTATTATCTGTTCTTATTACAGTCATCCTAGTGGTTATGAAGTGGTATCTCACTTGTGGGTTTGATGTTTTGATTTGCGTTTTCCTAATGGTTAAGGATGTTGAGCATCTTCAGGTATTCAGCCATTTGTATATCTTTTTTAGAGAAATATCTATTAAAATCTTTTGATCATTTAAAAAAATTGGGTTTATTATTGAATTGTGAGTGTTCTCTATATATTCTGGATACAAATTTCTTACCAGATAATTGATTTGTATGGGTCTGTGAGTTGTCTTTACACTCTCCGAATGGTGTCCTGGATGATTTTGAATTTGCAGCATACAGGCTTTTAATTTGCTGGAGTCTGTTCTTGAGTAAACCTAGATTTACATCAGATTTCTCCCCACCCCCCATTTCTGTATTTCAGGTTTTCTGTTTTATTTAACTAATTTCTAGAGCTAGTCTGTAGCAGTCTCAGTCTTCCATACTCAGAACTTCTTATGTTTGGTGACTGTTTCAGCTTTTGGAAACTGAATATCTTGTGAAAGCAGGAGACTAAGTCACAAAACTCTTTAAAATATTTTACTTATTTTGCCACTGATTTATTTATTTATTTATTTTTGAGACAGAGTCTCACTATGTTGCCCTCCTCGGTAGAATGCCATGACATCACAGCTCACAGAAGCCTCCAACTCTTGGGCTTAAGCGATTCTCTTGCCTCAGCCTCCCAAGTAGCTGGGACTACAGGCGCCCACCACAACACCCAGCTATTTTTTTTTGTAGTTGTCATTGTTGTTTTGCAGGTCCAGGCTGGGTATGAACCCACAGCCCTGGTATATGTGGCCGGCGCCCTAACCACTAAGTTATGAGTGCTGAGCCTTTGCTACTGATTTAAAGAAAAAAAAAAAAAAAAGGCCAGGTGTGGTGGCTCATGCCTGTAATCCCAGCACTCTGGGAGGCTGAGGTGATAGGATTGCTTGAGGCCAGGCATTGGAAACCAACATTGAAAACCTCATCTCTATAAAAAATATTTTAAAAAATTAGCTAGGCATAGTGGCAAGCATCTGTAATCCCAGTTACTTGGGAGGCTTAAACAGGAGGATAACTTGAGCCTAGCCTAGGAGTTGGGGACTTTAGTAAGCTATGCTGGTCCCATGGCATACTGGGTGACAGAGCAAGACACCGTCTCAAAAACAAAAATAACCTGTAAACCAATTACTATTTGAACAGGTTGATTGGGGGCCCGTCTTCTGGGACTAGCTGGAGGTTAGATACAAGTGTATAGAGGTGGTATTTAAGCATGGGCCAGGAACATGGGGTGGCGGTGTTTCCCATTATAATCTAACTCCCTTGTATTATCTAACGAGAGTTTGAGTTTTATTTACTCTAGTATAAAACATGGAATTTAATAACAAGAAGTGAATCTGGGCTATGTGGCTGAGTTACCAGAATGAAAAACTTTAACTACCTCCTACCCGGATCCCTACAACATATTTTTAGCTGTTCACCTTCTCTGCATGTTGTTCAGACAAGATTAAAAAGAAATAAAACATATAACTTAACTAATAACGTTTTGTTGACTGTCTTAGTGCTACGTCTTTGAGCCATATAGCAATTCTTTTTTTTTTTTTTTTTAAGATAGAGACTTACCATGTTACCCTTGGTAGAGTACTGTCACGTCACAGCTCACAGCAACCTCAAACTCTTGGGCTTAAGTGATTCTCTTGCCTCAGCCTCCCAAGTAGCTGGGACTACAGGCACCTGCCACAACTCCTGGCTAGTTTTGTGTTGCAGTTGTCATTGTTGTTTAGCTGGCCTGGGCTGGATTCGAACCTGCCAGCCTTGGTGTATATGGCCGGCACCCTACCCGCTGAGCCACAGGCCCTGCCCATGCATAGCAATTCTGTGTCCCACAGTTGGGAGAGTAAGCTCAGGAGGGTGTTTGGGATGGTCTGCTTTTCTGGGGTGGTGTAGCTCACTTCCAGGTGGGACTGCTGAGTTCTCTCCTTGGGGACATACTTAGGATGACTTGCACATGTGCTGTTTCAGAGCCTTGTTTGTTCTGTATCCTTTTTAGCTCTGTTTATCAGGTATTTCCATTTCTAAATTGGGGTAAGTGAAGGTATTGTATTTTTTCTATGTATGGAATCTGAGTGAGTATAAATTGTGTAGCTGGGGACTGAGAGTCAGGTGTGAAAATAAAAACATGGAATGGAAAGGAAAACTGGGTAAGGAACAGTGGAGAATCTGACAAGTTTTATCTTTCCAAGCACAGGAAAGTCATGGGAATTTATTAGATAGAAAGTGGATCTAGCACAGTATAAGAAAATATTTTAAATTTCCAGGGCTCGGCCCCCATAGCTAAGTGGTTAGGGTGCCGGCCACATGCAGTGAGGCTGGTGGGTTTGAACCAGTCCCAGGCCTGCTAAACAAACAAACAAAATAGCCGGGTGTTGTAGCAGGCTCCTGTAGTCCCAGCTACTAGGGAGGCTGAGGCAAGAGAATCGCTTGAGCCCAGGAGTTTGAGGTTGCTGTGAGCTATGAATTTGTAGCACTCTACCGAGGATGACAAAATGAGACTGTCTCAGTAAAAAAAAAAAAAAATTCCAGGTTTATTCATTGTTAGACATAAGCCATCAAAATCCTTGAATGACTTTCCAATGAGTATAATTTTGAACTGAAGCACATTCCTATTCCCATTTTGAATGGAGCTGCCTCTGATCCAGTAGACATCGGTTCTCAACTTGTATGTTGTGACCCACAGGAACTGTATTAAAGGGTGGTGGCATTAGGAAGGTTGAGAACCACTGCAGTAGAGGATCGTGGGTGATAGTGGCTTTTTGGATTGTTTTGGCCTTTTTTTCTGCAGAACTTAGAATCATTTCCTTATGGTTTTGTGATATCAAGGCCAGCCTGAAACTGACAATTCTTTCAAAGAAGTTACTCTTGAATTGTTTTGGGACCTGTGCTACTCTGGCTCTGTGATGTTCTTGGGAGACACGTTTCTATGTTTAAAGGTGGATGTGATGTGGTTCAGTGTGGCGGCTCCACAGTCAGGCTGCTGGAGTTCAGCTCCATCTTCTTCTATCCCTTAGGAATTAGATGACCTTGAATAAGTGACCAGATTTCTGTTTCTTCATCTGTACAATGTGGATAATAACACCTATCTCACAAGGTTATTGTGAGGATTAAATGCAGTCTTGTAAGTAAGTTCAAAAGAACAGCATGCAAAATAGTGCCTGTCATGGTAGTAAATACACGTTAAGTGTTAGGTGCTACTCCTACTGTTGTGAAATAAAATATTAATTTGGACACAGCTCTTGTTAATGAAGTGAATAATCAGTTTGGGCAGCAGTATTTTTTATAAGGCCTGAGGTTTGGAAATAACAGCAATATTGATAATTCCCCTTCATCGAGTGCCTTCTATGTGTTGGGGCCTGTGACTTGGGTGCTACCATGAATTGTCTCATTGAATTTTCACAGCTCTCATGCACGGCCTGCTTTGTCAGCACTACTGAGGTATGTGTCAGACAGCTGCTTGCTTGTAGAGCTGGTCTTCTCACACACCTCTCAGGGCTGGGCATTCCTCTGTGCTACCTGGTCACTTTGTCTGTTCACCTTGGGAGTCACTGTGACAAGAAAGTTGATCTTTGCCCTGAACCTGTACTTTTGGCTACTCACATAAACCAAGGCCCAGAGGGAGGTAAAATTTCCGACCTTAAACCTTTTTCTGAGTGAGTTTAGTCTTTTCTATTGTCATAATTAGGAAGAGGACTTGCTCGGGGAGGGGACTTGTCCTTTAGCAGGGGCCCACGATCACCTGTTTCTAAGATCCTCTTTGCATGCCCAGGCAGATACCTGCTCTTGTGTGGCCCCCAAACCCCCCAGGATGGGGATGTGGCTGGAAGGGGTGGTTCATGGCTGTTAGTGGCACCTCCTGCCTCGCCCTCCACTATCAGGATGTAGGCTATGTCTCACTCCATCTGTGCCTCACACTGTGAGTGCAGGGTCTAGGACCATCCCTTGGGAAGGAACATGTGTTCATTTGTGTATTCTATACACCCTTATCAAATATATGATTTACAAAAATCTTCTCCCGTTTGACCGGTCCTCTTCACTTTGCTGATGGTGCCCTTTGAAACACAACATTCCCTCTTGCCACTCCTCCCTCCCCTTTCCACCCCACCCCACCCCCGCCTGTTTTCCCATATGGTAAGGCTTGGCAAGCACTGGGATGCCTCAAGATGTGAGCCAAGAGGGTGGCAGCAACCCTTCCACCCCATGCACAGGCTTCCCTTCTCTTTTTTACTCCCACCCAGTCAATTAAGGTGGGGCAACTCACCCCACAGAAGAATAAGAGTAAAGACTCACAGTAAGTAGGCTTGCGGTCATAGTGGAGCTCTGCCTCGAAGAACTGGGGACTGTAGAGCATGGCCAAGTGCCTGGTGCATGATATGGGCAGCCCAGGTGAGCATGAACACTGCAGACATGGCACGCCTGGCACACACGGGGGCCTGACAGCAGGTCTGTGTGGCAATGTGTGGGCTGCTGGGCTTTGGGGACTGTTAGTGCCAAAGACTACATACACAGACGGGTCAGGTTACAGTTGCTGTGGGAACTGTGACCTTTGAATTTCCTGGCTTATGCCTGGAATTTTAGTTGCATAATACTACAGCAACTTAGATTTTTTCCCTCTTGTCTCCCTCTTCCTTGGTATTTAATTTTTTATCCCAGTGAATGAGATCTATAGCTTTCTGCCCTCCTCTTTTGTGGCAGATAGTCTCGCTGGCTTCCCCTCTCAGCTTCCCCAAAGGGTGCCCACTAAGAGACCAGCCCGGGGCCCTGGCCTTTGGCAGTTTTCCTTTTGTATCCAAGCAAGGCCTGGAGGAGGGGGTGGGCTGCCCTGGAGAGGGACTGCTGTATGTTTTAGGGTGGGCTGAACTGTTCTGTTCTGAGCTCTCCCATTGCTCCTTGCTGTTTCTGCTTGTGTATCTCTGTTTATACTGTTCTTCATGCCTGGAGCACCCTCCCCAGGTGGCTTACTTAGCTGAATTCTCCCCAGATTTAAGTTTTCCCTCTGTAGGTAACCTGTTGTCACCACTTTACCCTGGAATTATTTCCCCTCCAATGAACTGCATGACATCAACATTTCATTTGGCATTTAATCAGAAATGCCTTAGGATGTATATTTTCTGTCTTTTTTTTTGAGACAGAGTTTCCCTCAGTTGCCCTGGGATAGAGTGCCATGGCATCATAACTCATAGCAACCTTAAACTCTTGGGCTCAAGTGAGTCTCTTGCCTCAGCCTCCTGAGTAGCTGGGACTACAGGCGCCTACCACAGTGCCAGCTAGGAGAAATGCAGAGTTTAGAATCTTTCTTTGCTAAGGCCTCTTAGGCAAGTCAGTTATGTGTGCTTCTCCTGTCTTAAAGAGGACTTAGTATCAACTTTCCCTATGTACTTGGAGATACTAAGACTTGCCTGTGAAAATGTTTCAGTAGAGAACCTGAAGGGCCTAGAGAACCTGAGGGGCCTATTTTTTTTAGAAATGGGGTCTTGCTCTTGCTCAAGCTGGTCTTGAACTCCTGATCTCAGACAATCTAACCTATCTTGGCCTATCAGATGCTAGGACTACAGGACACCATGCCTGGCCCAGGATGTATGTTTTCATGTCTCAAACTTTTTATTCTGGGAGGATGTAGGGAGGGATAGTCTGTTATCTTTTTCTACAAACCGGATTATAAGATTCTTGAAAGCCAAGATTTTAAGTCATTGCCTTGCTTATTAAATAGTTACTGGTTTATATTTGATTTGATGAATTGAGTATGTTTTCTTTTTTCTTATTTGTCTAGTCTTTCATCAGCGATGAGTATATATTTTCTTAGTGTCTGCCTTGAGGAAGGCATTGGGCTTGGGAGCTATAAAGGCCTTTGGGGACTAGACGGCCTACACATCCATTCTTTCCTGGGGCCCGGGCTGCCTTCTGCCCCTGCAGCAAGCTCTCCCTTCTACTAGGTACCATCCTTTGGTACCGTCCTTTGGCAAAATACTACTTTCTATCCACCTAAGCTGAGGGATTCCTTCAGACAGTTTCTCTTTTCTGCTGTTCTTTTTGTCACAGTACATACGTAGGAACTTATTTGTCTGTGTATGCATTGACATTTTTATACAAATGGCTGTGTCCATCACTGTGCTTCTATTTCCAGAGCTCCAGAGACATGGGAGTTTCGTGCACATTTAATTAATTTATTTATTTGAGACAGAGTCTCACTTTGCCACCCTTGGTAGAGTGTGGTGGCATCATAGCTCATAGCAACCTCAAACTCTTGGGGCTTAAGGGATTCTCTTGCCTCAGTCTCCCAAGTAGCTGGGACCACAGGTGCCTGCCACAATGCCTGGCTATTTTTTTAGAGATGGTGTCTTGCTCTGGCTTAGGCTGGTCTTGAGCTCATGAGCTCAGGCAGTGCACCTGCCTTGGCCTTGCAGAGTGCTAGGATTACAGGCATGAGCCACTGCGCCTGGCCTTGTGCACATTTTATGCTCAGACCCAACACAATCCCTGGTACCTGGTAGACTCACAGTATCAGGGATGTCCAGCCTGTAGCCTGTGGGCCACATACCAATTATTTGAGGACTGTTTTGCTTATCTGTGATGTCAGATATAATGAAAAGTACGCACAGAGTTTTTTTTGCTCTTCAGGTTTTGTTAGTGTTCATGTTTTTAATGTGTGGGCCAAGATGACTCTTCTTCCAGTGTGTAGCAGAGAGAAAAGAAGGTTGGCTACCCCTGTGAGTAGATGGTAAATGAATGAGTGTTCTTGTAGAAACATATGTACTTTTCTCTACGGGACGAGAAAGAGACATGAAATGACTAGTGATTTATCCTGTGCAGGTCATGCTGCTGTGGTTGGTCTGGAACAGACAGGCTCTGTGGAACCACCTGGCATCCCTCCTCAGATAAACATTGGCACTCCTTTGATCTAGGCAAAATGCATGTGTTTTTTTCTTTCCTTCTTTCTTGCCTTCTTTATTCCCTTTTTGGCTTATATTAGAAATGATTTAAGGCATCCTAGGCTCTTGATCTGAGAGGACGGTGAAGCAGGACTATTACTCTAGTCTGTGGAATTCTAGACACTAATTTTGGGACTTTTGGTATAGTCATTTTTTCCCTAAACTCTCAGAATCATTTTTGAGAAGATGTTTTGTTTTTGGCCAGAACAGCTAGGAGAAATGCAGGGTTTAGAATCTTTCTTTGCTAAGGCCTCTTAGGCAAGTCAGTTATGTGTGCTTCTCTTGTCTTTTAAAGAGGACTTAGTATCAACTTTCCCTATGTACTTGGGGATACTAAGACTTGCCTGTGAAAATGTTTCAGTAGAGAACCTGAAGGGCCTAGTGAAGTCATCTACAAAAGCACAGGGAGCTCGTCAGAGAAGAAAGAGGTGCTCTGGGAAGTCGGCGTATAATAATTAATCAGACCTTCCTTTGGTTGGTCCACTTCTCTGCCCTAGGTTTGCCTTTGGCTGCTGCTTGGCCTGCCAGAATTAGCATACGGAAAGTAACTGGGCCATCACTCCCAGTCCTCCTGGCACATTGGCACGGGCTGAGCCACTGTTTGCAGTGAGGAGTCGCAGGCAACAGGGGCAGCAACAGTCTCTCTGAGTGAGCACGCTGTCACAGGTGTCGCAGGGTCCCTCTGGGGGCTCTCACCACTGCCCCTTCTTTGGGCATGCATGGCATTTTTAGCTACCCTTGACAACCACTTTTCTCCTTCGCTGGCCCCCAGGTGGGTTCTAAATCTTTCAATCTGTCCCTGAGTGAACAGTTAACCAGCTGTGGAGCCCACACTTGGGGAAGGTCTTCCTTCTCCACTCTAGGTCCTATTGGTTGGAGACCCCTTTGGGAGTCAGATAAATAAGTCTCATCTCTGCAGTCAGATGTATGTCCATTTTATTATAGTGGCAGGTCATCTTATGTACTTTTAAGTTTTAGTTTTCACTGAATTTTAGATTTAAACATCCAAATTCAGGAACTCAATTTTGGTAATCTCCTCCTTATCGCCTATTTGTCTTTGTTCCATCCCCTGATGTCTGACATATTCCTGGCATGTAATATGTGTAATAGGTGCTTTAAACAGTCCTGAAATTGGTTCAAGTCTTTCCAAACCATATAAATTAGCAGGACATAAGAAAATGTAGAAAACATTTTATTTGTTGTATCTTCCTTGTTCCTCTTTCTCTTGTCCTCTCAGCATCCCACCCGTTAACAGACAGTGTTTCCTAAACTGTGGCCCCTGAGCGATTAAAATGTCCTCTGGAGAAAATTAAAGAATCTTCTTAATAATATAAATGATTGAGGGTTTTTTTTGCAGTTTTGGCTGGGCTTGAACTCACCACCCCACTATATGGGGCCGGCACCCTTCTCCTTGAGCCACAGGTGCTGCCCCTATAAATGATGGAACTTTATAGATTTTTGTAGTGTGTAGGGGAGGAGAATTTTGTTTATAAAACTTTAAAAACCAGGGGCCGGGCTCAGTGGCTCATGCCTGTACTCCTAGCACTTGGGAGGCTGAGGTGGGTAGATTGCTCATGGGTTTCAGACCAGTCTGAGCCAGAGTGAGACCCCATCTCAAAAAATAGCAGGGTGTTGTGGCAGTCGCCTATAGTCCCAGCTACTTGGAAGGCTGAGGCAAGAGAATTGCTTAAGCCCAAAATTTTGAAGTTGCTATGAGCTATGACAACACAGCACTCTATTGAAGGTGACAAAGTGAGACTCTGTCTCAAAGAAGAAAAAAAACTTTAAAAACCCGATCCTTTTCTGCAACAGTTAATTTACCTGTGTGGCCATTTATTTGTGAGTAAAAAATATAAATTTATCTAAAATGTTGAATTCATAGTTTTTGATCACTAGGAATTTTTAAAATTTGTCATCCCATACAAAGTTTAGATTACTAAATGCACCTAACACTTCTTGTGCTCCTTTAGTATTCTTTTCATTAATTTTTTGTTTAAAACTGTTTTGGTAGTCAAATGTGTTTGAGGAGGCCGGATGTGGTGATTCATGCCTGTAATCCCAGCACTCTCGTTGGCTGAGACAGGTGGATTGCCTGAGCTCACGAGTTCGAGACCAGCCTGAGCTGGAGCGAGAACCCCCGTATCTAAACAACAGCGGGGCGTTGTGGCAGGTGCCTGTAGTCCCAGCTACTTGGGAGGCTGAGCCTAGAGGATCACTTGAGCCCAGGAATCTGAAGTTGCTGTGAACTCTGACACCATGGCTCTCTACCAGGGAGATAACAAAGTGAGACTCTATGTCAAAAAAAAAAAAAAAATGTGTTTGAGGAATCAGCTGGCCTGAGGGGTGGAGCTAGTTTCACCATTAAGACTGCTTTGTGGG